CATGGATGACAGCTGATAGATACATTCCAAGTAAGGACTGCAGTCAGACTCTCTCCCTTCTTCTTTCTTCTGGTGGTCGACTGGATTATGAAGACCTCGACATCTGAGGGAAAACACGGAATACAATGGACAGCTCAGAACCAATGAGACGATTTGGACTTCGCAGATGACCTGGTCCATGTATCGCATGCACATAAACAGATGCAGATAAAGACAGCCAGTGTAGCAGCAGTCTATACATCAGTAGGCCTCAACATACACAAGGGGAAAACAAAGGTCCTCAAATACAACACGGAGATCAGCAATCCAATCACTTGATGGCGAAACCCTGGAAGATGTAGAATCCTTCACATACCTGGGAAGCATTATCGATGAACAAAGAGGATCAGATGCGGACGTAAAGGCGAGGATTGGCAAAGCAAGGGTCGCATTCCTACAATTGAAGAACATATGGAACTCAAAACAACTTTCAACCAATATCAAAGTGAGAATCTTTAATACGAATGTCTAGGCAGTTCTACTGTACGGAGCTGAAACTTGGAGAACTGCTACAACCACCATCAAGAAAGTACAAGTATTTATAAATAGCTGTCTACGCAAGATACTCAATATCCATTGGCTGGATACCATCAGCAACAGGCTACTGTGGGAGAGAACAAATCAGCTTCAAGCTGAAGAGGAAATTAGGAAAAGACGATGGAAATGGATAGGACATACATTACGCAAATCATCAAACTGCATCACGAGACAAGCCCTAACTTGGAATCCTGAAGGTAAGCGGAAAAGAGGAAGGCCAAAGAACACATTGCGTCGGGAAATAGAAACAGACATGAAAAAGATGAATAACAACTGGAGAGCTGGAAAGGATTGCCCAGGACAGGGTTGGATGGCGAACGCTGGTGCGCAGCCTATGTTCCTTCACGAGGAGTAACAGGCGTAAGTAAGTAAGTGGTCGACTAACCCTGGTAAGTTTGTTTACAAAGAAATGCTACACAAAAACCACAATAACGAAAACATTCAAAGGGAAATCAAGTAATTGTCAGACAATTCCGAAAGTGTGGAAAATAGTTTATTTAGAAATTGTATAGGTTATTACAAGAAATATATTACGAAATATAAGATAACAGAATAACTCATAGACAAGTATAAGAGGAGATGAAACCCAACTGGTTTGCATGTTAGTTTCGTTTTCAACATTTCCTTGCATTCAGTTTGTGTACTTCTAACTTTAGAGAATTGTTTTATTATTACATGTGTGAACATACTGAGTCATTACTTCAGATAATTCAGTTCTTTTCTATTTCCATTTACTTACTATTTAGGTGAATTATTCGTTAAATTTATAAGCTAACAAAAGTCTATTTACGACTAAATATTACAAAATTACCCATTTTACCGTCTTTCCTACTTATTTCATTTAAAAACAAAGTCGTATTTCGTCCCAAGAAAAACAAGTTTCAAATAATTTGGAAAACAAATATTTTAAGTAAATTGTAATAGTATAACTTCAAATTAAGCTACGGTTGGTCTGAAATAAGCACCACGGAAGTTCTAGTAGTTTTAAGTGAAACTTTTACAGGAATATCGGGACATGCAGCTATCTTTTCTTTGCCATAGTCTTTCAAGAGCAATAATGAGTTTAGCATCTGTAATGATGGGTTGTATAATAAGTACAGCATAATAAGGATATCCAGAAGAAAGAAAAGGCTTCAAGATGAAAAATCAAGTATGAATGCGACTCCCTAACTTTTGGTATGAAAACCCGTCAAAAGAGAAACTACTATGCAAGCGAACAATTGAAGTCAACCAATGTAGATCACTTACTTACGCTTGTTACTCCTCATGAAGGAGCATTTGCCGCCCACCAGCATTCTCAAACCAACTATGTTCTGAGAAATCCTTTCCAGGTGCAATCCATTCTTTTGATATCTGCTTCCAACTCCCAACGAAATGTGTTCATTCATCTTCCTCTTTACCTTCTACCTTCGAAATTTCAAGTTGAGGCTTGCCTTGTGATGCAGTTTGATGGTAACCGCAATGTATTTGATGTAACACAGTAAATAATTCCATCCTTTAAGTAGTTAACTCCATTTCGAAACAGAAATGAATGTCGTTGATGAGGATAACTAAGTATTCCTCAAGAATATATTCTAGCTTTATCCATATAGTGGTTTTAGTTATAACAATTAGGCAACAATCTAAGTTATTATACAATAGGAAATTGGTATTGATCGTTAAAATGGATATTTAGTAATGTTTTCACATTCTCAGTTTTTGGTTTTGATTGTTATTTACGGAAAGGTGACTAATCTATAACAGATATAACAAACAGTAGTTAAGAAAGTTAATTGAACTCAAAGAAGAAATCATGTTGACGCTTAATTCCGTGACATATTCTCTGCTTATGAACTTCCTAAATGAATGGATTTCGTTTCTCAGAAAATTCTCATTAGCTGTATGGCTTATTTGACCTTTACACTAAATCACCACTTCAACTCATTGAATCTCACTAACTGATTGTAGGAATAATCTACTGTTAGGGAACTCAAATGTCAAGGTAGAATACTCAGAAGACACAGTATAGTTTACTGGAGATGCTGATAAATTCAGTCCTTTGATTCCATTGATACGTAATACAAGCGTTTTCAGGATACATTTCGATTCTATTACCAGAACAACTTTATATTAACACTTAAACTGACGATAAGGAGTGAAGTAGCTGAGCGGACCGACCATTTCACCTATTTTGAAGGTCTCACCAGAACTAGTGGGTTGAAGTTTGGCGAGATCATGGCACGAATTCAGGAAACCCGATTAACCTTTGCCAGCTTGGATCATTTGTGGCGTAGGCGAGATATCCGTTTGCAAACCAAAGAACGAGTATACTGACATCAGTTCACTTGGTTCTACCTTATGACTGTGAGACATGACATTTGAAACCAAAGAATAATCGTAGATAACAAGTATTTGACCATAGGTGTCCTCGAAACACTGCCTGTTTATATTGGGACCATTGAATGAGTAATGCTGAGGTTAGATGCAGAGCACTAAGTAATAATAGCAAGCTGGTTGGGACATATGTTGCGTTTGCCTAGCCACCGCCCACACCGACGCTCGACGTTTTGTGGTGTAGGAGACTAGAAGAAAGGTAGGGGAAGGCAAACTACGACGTGTCATCAGTTCACTAAGTTTCTGACTTTTTCTAAATCGTGTACGAAGGTGCGGACTACCTAGCTGATATCCGCTTGATAACCGAAATCACTACTTGGGGACGTTGGGTGACATAACTAAAAATCATTTACAGTGAGACAAGCGCATTCAGTCCTTGTCTTGGCTCAAATCTTAAGCTTCGGAATAGTTTTTACTCTTTATTCCACAAACCAATTATTTTCTGCTCATATGATCTAACTCAATCCTCTTTACCACCAATGATATTACAACTTCTACTGCTTTAGTATTGCTCTTGACAATTTCATGTCGCTATGTTGTTGCAATTTGAGTTGATGCACATACATGGTAGACTCTAAGTTGTTGATAGCTAACTGGAGATCTGTAAATCTGTGTTTTAAAAAATCCTATGGCAAGTTATCTTATCCGATTACGCAATATAATAGTATAATTAGTAACTTTTTATGGATGAAAGGTTATTTGGTCTGGATTGTATTCATCAAATAGATTAATCTAAAAAAACTGGTACTCAAAGTTACAAGCAGATTTTCTGTTTGATAAGTAACCCGCCAGTTAGATCATGTCCTGAAGATTAGACGACACCCAATGGAATCAGTTAACAAAGTTATTACGTCACAATCCTAGTATACACGATGTTTATACAAACTCATTTTATTTCTTGAAAGCGTCCTGGGTTCACGTCATAAACACCTCGTCCGAATTTCAATTCCTCGAATTTTCCAGGGCAATTAGTGTTCAGTTGAAGACAAGTCTCAAAAATATCCTGGATTACTAAAAATGTGATTTCAGAAACTGAAATTTGATTGACACGCCGAAAACAAGTACCCTAAAATGCTTTAACTCAATTACTTATTTTCCGACAGCTTCCGCATAACTGGTTTGCAATCGCTATCTCTGTGATGTGTAAACCACCTGCCCCAGATACCCTGCCAGCTGCAAAAGGCTGGATGATTTAGTACCACGCGAGTGTTGATACAGAAACAACTAATTTACGGTAAATCCGTTGGTGATTTCATCCAGGTTGAGAAAAATAAATAAATTCAGACGTGCAGCATGGCTTTTCACCAGTCGCGTGATTGGATGATGTCTTCACTCGACAGCTAGCGGAAATGCTATATAGCCATGCATCCCGGTTACTGTGACGTGTCTCAATAGCAGTTGATATACACAACCACGAGATTCAATGACAGAAAAGCCCAGATAACTACAGCAACGATTGGGTTACACGATCTCAAGGAGTGTGAAATAGACACACGGGCTCACTACTCGCCATTACTGAATTTTGATTGGCCCAATGTATGTGCCTTAAATAATAGCTACTTAATTTGTGTCAGTGTGTGGAATTTAAATCTGGTGATGAATTTAGACAGGCTGACCGCTAATCTATTGATCGCTCAATTACTCTGTAATTGGCTACTTGATCAATATTGGATATTTGAATGACGGACATGTACACGTGTGTTTGCTGTCGTTTGTATTGAATTTTAATGGTGCGGACCGATCTATTGATCGCACGCCTAACTTGTAGTGTGGTTTCGTTGAGATCTCATTCCTTTGGACTCTGGTTGTTAGAAAGGCAAGTTTCTGGACTATTTTAATGTCATGATATATTAATCTATTGAGTTGACTAAAATTTGTTGTAATAGTGTATACCTGTTGGTACTTGTTAGTACTACGACTGCCGTGGTTTATTCAAAACATAATTAAATTAAACACATAATACCCAAAATCACTCCAAAATAAAAGGTTGTCAATTAGTTTCGCATGATTCATGCTGTAATTAAAATGTCCAGTTATTTGCTTTCCTGAAGATGCGGAAATCTGACAGAACATCAGTCCTGATGTATCGTAAGTTTTGTTGCAAAAATAGAGATATTAGAAGTTAGATTATCGTTGATATTCAGCACTTGACTTGCCTCCAATGTTTTTGTATCATTCTGTGTTGTAGGCCGAGTGCAATCTCAGCCTGGTATGGTAGCCAGATATAGACCACTTGTAGCCAATGTGAACAACAGTAAAAAACGCTTTTCTGATACGTCTTGTGATACTCGATTAAACTCAGTGCCACTAAAAGGCAAAATTTTTTCACGTCAGGTTAGTCAACGTGGCACAGACCAGCCATCTCAAAATTTGTCTGTGGCAAAGAAGAGTGGTTCATCATCAGTACACACAAGTGAGTTTTTCTTAATCCGAATTTAGTTGTTGAGTATGTATTTCCATCACCAGCGTATTCTTTACCTTTCAATCAAACACCATTTTGGGAATAATAATATTTATGTATAAATGCAAGTTAGGTGGACTTTCTACCGAACCCGTAACTATTTACACAATCACCTACTTTATTATACTTATCAAAAAAGAATCCACTTCATATCTATAGATATCAGTCTATGTTAACTAGAAGTATCCTCTAGGCATAGAGTAACAAGTAAGTGTGTAAATCCATACTCAATTCATACTACTTCATTTACTGGTATTAATGACAAAGATGTTCAAATTATTTGTATTATCTTAATCATACCATAATATTTCTTGGTAACTTAGTTGTATCCAAACAATGATAACTTTAAAACGCGTTTGGTTCGCTGGTGTACATCACTCAGCAGCTTATACCATATTTTGTTATACCACTGAAAGTTATGAAATCAAAACCAATAAATTATCGTAATATGGTAACCAGAGGACTTACGTGTCATCAATATTTGTAGTAATTATAACTGTACACGATCGTTGAACCGGTTCATATGAAAAAAGGTTCACGACATTCAGTTTACTGTTACCTGTCGCAACCACTTACTTCAGTGTGGTTGTCTGAATATCTCATCTTTAAAGAAATTGGAAGGTAAACATCTGATTGTGTTCTCACGTGTTGTATTGTTTCGTAAGTAGGTTATAGTACATTGTCTAATCTAATTCTCAGTATTTTATTGGCTTTTGGTGACTGCTACAACCTCCTTGGCTTGTTAACCTGATTATGCAAGAATGGAAAGATTTGGGAGAAAATCCCTATACACTCCATATTAAGTAGTGTAGATCAACGATGATTTAGGCGTACGAATTACGTTATTCACTCACACACTTTTGATGAGGTTGATTTATCAAAATATATTCTCCCACATACAGTGGCTTACCCGTCAAATAACTTTGTGGGTACTCTAGGCATGATTACATTACTAATTTCATTTACAGATATCTTGTTAGTTATTATAATCAGTTTCTTATAAGCCTTTGGTTATCACGTTCTTTCAAACCCTTAGTTGTTTGGAGCACTTCTAATAAGTTGTGTTTATAATATATGTTTGTTGTTATTTTCAAGATCATCAGGTATCTGGCAATCAAGTAGATATAACCACAAACAGAGCTTTAATGCATTTGTTGGTCACACAATTGTAGTTTACCCGTCAGTTGCCTCGTCACTTCCTGTTTCATCTTCTCCATATCCTTCGATCTTTAAGGTCTTGCCTCTACAATATAATTACAAGAATAGGGGATAATTACCGCCAAAGAATTGTAAAATATTTATAGTAGACAGTAGTGGAAAGTGAAACAAAAATGGATTGCTGCGGGTTAACAGTCATGTACCGATTTATTCAACCAAAATCAATACGGGGCATGGCACAACTGTGCGTTTCCATCGGTTGCCATACCGCCTCGACACAGCAAGATGAAACTAACATCAAGAGTCTAAATAATAGTAGTTTCAACGTTAGTGCGTAGTAGCTAAACATAGACACCCTACCAAGTTCAGATTGATTTAATATAGTAGGCGTCTAAGTATAATTTAATTACCAGCCCTCCTATCTATATCCACAACTAAAAAGAGAAGCCCACTTTACGTATTTATTGGACAGGTAACATGTTCTTGGGCGTCTTTTCACTGTATTGGAAATAATTAGATGTTGCCACTTCAAAAATTCTATGAAATAGTGTCAGGTGATATGCAGTAGTTTTTTTTCTGGTTTTCCCATTCAGTGTTATACATCCAATTGTCTGGATCCTACGTTTGTTAGTACATTTGTTGTTTCGTGGTTAGATGATGAAAGTCGTGAGGGAAACAGCGAAATTAGCTACTGCATTAGTGATTAAAGTCAGGACGAGTTCTTTTATACTGTTATGTCAAAGTTTTTCCACAGCCTGAGGACAATTCAACTTTTTGCGTGTAAAGATATGACATTCTAATACTGCACATTCGTACTTCTCCGCATTAGTATATTTTTCAGGTTTCTTAAAAAACGTCTACAAGCTATTTTGTGATTGGCTGATAACTTATATTCTATAGATTTCAAGATCACTTTCAAATTATCATTAGGAACTAAACAATTACAACAGCTTGGATACGATTAGCAATAAACCAATCGCTCCTAATAGACATCGGCCATCTTGATTCCGATCATTTTCTCTCGTATTATCACTTGCAAAATGTCCGTTTTTATGTTCAAAGCCTGTGTTGATGGCTAGGATTTATCAAGTGGCAACCAAATTGGTTTTGTGCTTTTAATTTCTATGTCAACTCTTACATATTAAGGTGCGTATATTTTTCTGCATATAAATGAGAAATATTGCTTCAGAACTGGTCTGCTTCGGCCCCTGAATTAGTTATATGAAGTAAAGTAGCTGAGCGGACCGACCATTTCACCTATTTTGAAGGTCTCACCAGAACTAGTGGGTTGAAGTTTGGCGAGATCATGGCACGAATTCAGGAAACCCGATTAACCTTTGCCAGCTTGGATCATTTGTGGCGTAGGCGAGATATCCGTTTGCAAACCAAAGAACGAGTATACTGACATCAGTTCACTTGGTTCTACCTTATGACTGTGAGACATGACCTTTGAAACCAAAGAATAATCGTAGATAACAAGTATTTGACCATAGGTGTCCTCGAAACACTGCCTGTTTATATTGGGACCATTGAATGAGTAATGCTGAGGTTAGATGCAGAGCACTAAGTAATAATAGCAAGCTGGTTGGGACATATGTTGCGTTTGCCTAGCCACCGCCCACACCGACGCTCGACGTTTTGTGGTGTAGGAGACTAGAAGAAAGGTAGGGGAAGGCAAACCACGACGTGTCATCAGTTCACTAAGTTTCTGACTTTTTCTAAATCGTGTACGAAGGTGCAGATTACCCAGTTGGTAACCGGTTAATAATCATGACCAATGGTTAATGAGGTGCATTCTGTCTTTGTCTTTATTTAAATCCGGAGTCCCAAAATGTGCCGATACTTCTAGTTTTCTACGTAGCTTATGACTGACCGACTACTCGTGTTTTCGAAGGGCATTTCCTTAGGCTCATCTGACTGTTGTGATTCCCAAATCAAACTGAACCGTAGTTTCTTTGTAGCTGACATTTAAAGCAATAGTGTCGAGTGTTAAAACAGGCTGCATAGTTATCAGTAGTTACGTTTTTATGATTGAAATGTGTGGATTATTGTCACTTTTATTTCCTGATGCGTAAGGCGAAATTTAACGGGGTTTCGATAACTTGCAGTGATTTTACAGATTATGGTAGTAAATTGAGGGGCTATAAAGTGTCCCACCGCCTATTTTTCCGAAGCATTGTTAAGTTATATTAAAACAATTAAATTTAACTTATTGAGATTGTTTTTTTTCTGTTAAGTAAGAAATTTACTCAGTAATATTCCGAAACTATCTTTCCAAGTGACAAAAGTGTTATGATATACATGACATGTAATTAAAATCTCACAAATTCAGTAAGTGTTAAAATACGTTTGCTTTGGTTACACTAAGATCTAAGGATATTTTTTTCAAAATAACAGACATATAATCGACTTCATACATCCAAATAATAGTAATGTTTTTGTATCATAGTGAACCTCACTACAGATCGTTTAATTAATGGAAGCTGTGAATGGCTTTTACTTTAGTAACGTTAATTTACTAAGATAGGCGTTTAGCATAAGAAGTCACTACTAAATAGATGAATTTGCTCATACTTAACACATATATGTTAATATGTAGATTCTTATTGTTGATGAAACCTTAAAAGCGGGGAGTAGCACTTAATGTATTTGGTGGTAAAGTATCGCAATTTATTAGTATGATTTACAGGATCTGTTAAGTGAGAATATGTATATACTTGAAGTGACTAAACAAGTGGGTTATACAATCTTTTGGAACCACCACAAATTATCAGTTAATTTATTCTTTTAACTTAGTTTTTATTATTAATTGATAACATAAAGGGTTAACAGTTGTCACACTTTTCTTATTGTCAACATGGGATTCATTTTCATGTAGTTCACCTTTTGGTTAGATATATGGAAGTTTTCACGTGCTACTTCCTTATGCTATTCAAAAATTCTGGTTGACATACGAGATAACTTTTAAGTTAGTTATTAACTGTTAGACAAAATTTCTCGCTATAATCGGTCTTCATCTTGATTAGGTGTTAAGTCCCTATGTAGTTGTTTTAGAGTGACTTGAGAAGAAATTCCAACTTACAAGAACTAATGCGTCTAAAATTCGGATCAAATATTGTTCTGTACTTACTTTACGGTGGTATTCTGACGTTTTAATAACTTGCTTGTAAGATGTGCTGTTGCTCCATTTTTCCTGGGTACTTTATGGTTTAGATTGTTTTCCAGGTCTATTAGCAACTAAATCATTTCAATCTTTACATTGTTGTTTTTCCAGAACCCGGGCCTTTCGATTGGGCACATTATCTTAGAGAAATTGATGCAGATCCTGTTCAGTCTTCTCTCTTTTTTCATGTTCCATTTGAAGTTCAGGTATGTCATGTATCGATTGCATATACTAATGTTGAAAGTTTATGTAAACTATTTCAAGAGCATCCACGTACCTTTGGTTAGTGGTTTGTAAAAGAGATCCTTCAAGTTCATGTCTACGGTTCACATAGTCGTTTTGCTGATAATCTCAATTATTTATATGTACCGACTCCCCACTAGTATATATATAGTCTTAATTGTTGATTGGATGAGACAACGGTGAATTATACTGAGTTGGAAAATGAGTGTCGTACGTGTGGACGCATCAGGGCTAGTTATCATTCATGCCTCAACCATGTAACTGTATTGTAGTCATTAACGTCGTCTCGATTCCTTAAACAAATCCAGTTATTCCTTTACATGTTTAGAGTATTGTAAAAAGACCTTTTCGTAGGTTCCTGGAACCGAAAAATCTTGTGCTATATAGAAGTATAGTAATCTTGAATTATCGTTTCTTTTCCGCGACATGTTAATTTGACCAACCATTCTTGTTGGTGATTATTATTGTCTTCATCTGATATAGTATTGTCTCTGATTATCTTTGTTCCATATGTATCAGTTCCATAAAGCCATTAAGAGTGAGTTAGTAGAATGTAGGGTTCAGGTTGCATTTCCATCCAGTCACTAATCTGTTTATTCACTTCTTTAGGTATACTTAAATTGGATTAAGATCACCACTTGTTTATCAACATCTAGTCCTAATCATTCAGTCCAGTTAATAAAATATTACTGATTATTAACCGATTTCGTATGTGTGTTTCATGTTTTCACTCATTCTTATTACTTTTTAACAAGGTCCCATCACCATCAATTCTTCCTGGACAAAATGTAGCCCCTGAGGGAAATTTCAAGCCTGGTCAGTATTTAGAGGGTATTGATCCTCATAATGAAAGCTTAATTTGTGTTCTCTGCGTTTCTGAATTGATAGGACGGCGTGTCAAGCTTCATTTTGCTAGTTACCCGGAGAAGTATGACTTCTGGACGACAATAGACTCTCCTTTTTTGTTTCCTGTTGGATGGTGTGCACATAACAACCGTCAACTTCAACCCCCCAAGGAATATCTCGAAGAATCTTATCATCCATTTAATTGGACAAGCTTTTTGGCTAAACTAGGAGCCAAACCAGTTCCTCGCCATTCGTTTAAAGTACCATGGGATTCTGTAAGCTGTGATGTCAAAGTTATGCTACCATAAACATGAATTTTTGAAACCAGTTTGTTCGGTTTTGTTGTTTACACCATAAATTTGAGTAAGACGTACCTTACCAAAAACAGGTTTATGCACTCGACTTACAGCGTCACTTATGTGGAAGTCCGATTGTTCAAACGGAAGAAGATATATCGGGATTCACACCTTTGACTCAGTGATTAAATGTCGATTACATTAATCCTGAAGTTACATCCTGGGTGGCATAGCTTAGAATCAGTCGCACTTGCTCAGGTGCATTCAATTTTTGTCTCCTCTCACATCTCGAATTTCAAAATTATTTTACACTTTTTTATTACGCGAATCCATTCCTTTTTAATCGAATTATATTATCTATCTCTGATGTTTTCTACTTTCGCTGATACCATTACTACTCTTACTATTCTAAGATTCATCGTGATAGCTTCCTTTTATTGTGCTGATATGGTCTAAGAACTTGAACCGATGCGGATATGTATGTTACTCATGTTTGACTGACTGGGTATTGTAGTTATTTCCCCACTCATTGTTTTCTTACATAGAGAGACTACGTAGATCCGGTAACTGTTATGATATGACAGCTCTTAAAATAACATAGTGTCTACTGAAACGGTGGCTTGGTGGTTAGGGTGTTTGGCCCACGACTACTAAGTTCCATGTCCGAACCCCGTTCCTCCTACTTAGTATGGTTCATACCTAAGTACCTGATGAATGAATAAATCTAATAGGAGTTTTTTTCTGACAAATCAAGCGATTTAATTGAGTACCTAAACAACTGAGATAAACCAGTAATTCACTCATTGTAATGACCTCCAGACCCGAGCTTGTTAAATTTTAAAAAAATGAAACAACTTTGCGTTTACCTATAAGTACATTTTGAAAAATTAAAATTATCATTCGTATGCAAAAAAATATTTAGCCGTGATTATAGGTTAGTTGTCAGTTAAAATGATTCATCAAAGATGAAACATTAGTCAAAAATCAATTAATATTTATTCACTTAAACATCCCATTTTACATACCGAATCCAGTTGTGTCATTTAAATAATAAATGAATCTTGTTACCTGAAATTCAAGTAAATGCTTTCTCGTTCGTAATATACCTAGTAAGTCTAAATAGCTGGCATATGGCCTTAGGGCTTCTTTGCCCTCCAGTGTGATCATTTAAAATATTACCACACAAAAATTCATAGTTGTAACGTGTCTTAAATTTAGTAGTTAGTATACAATTTCCTTGATCTGGCTTACGTGTTTTAAACCACAAAGCTCTTAGTAGGGTATTACTTGAATGCGTTAGCCTCATTTGCACCGATGCTAAAGGTGTGAAAAGCTGGCTATACATATTGTTGCTAAGGTAGTCCTAAAATACACCATTACCGTCACGTATCCAAATTAATGTATTGACGGGTTTTGTTTATTGGATCTAAGATAATCACTGGTTTCATCAAAGGCAACTGTACTCTGAAGACGTTGAGATGAAAACGCCTTACCAACCTGCGTTAGGCCTCAAAAATTTGAGTAACTACAACTAACAATGAACTATATTTTAATCTTACTTATGTTCATCGGTATATATATATATATATATATATATATATATATATATATATATATATATAATTATTATTATTATTATTATTATTATTATTATTAAGCCGATACTTTCTGAATGAGTAAATGTAGTTGCAAATGATCTTTAATTTTACATTCTCAATGGGATCCAATACACTTTGTGTATTTCCCCTATGCCGAGTGTTGTTGGAATACTTAATATCTTCATATACTAACTGCTTATAAAACCTACTGACTGCAAAATAGATAATAAACAGTACCTAAATTCAGTTGCTGAATTACAAGCGAGTACACATTTTCCAGTTTTATCTTGTTCTGCATCAACGTAGTTTGTTGATTTAAAGTTTTTCTTATATTTTAGCCTGTTGATGCATCTCCACCGCATATGTTTGCTGTTGGACTTAAACTTGAGGCTATAGATAAACGGAATCCCTCTTTGGCTTGCGTTGCCACTATAAAAGACTGTATCGGTGATTACATATTGATTCATTTTGATGGTTGGGACTCAGGGTTTGATCAGTGGGCTCACATATCATCTGAGCTTTTACATCCTGTTGGGTATTGCGAGGATCATGAACAAGTTTTATCAATCCCCAGTGGTATGTATTGCTAATTTGTAAATTTAGTGAAACTTCCCATTTTGATATTCGGTATATATATATATATTATATATATATATATATATATATATATATATATATATATATATATATATATATATATATATATATATATATATATATATATATATAAGCGTAGAGCCATAATGAAAAACTAGTTGAAAACAAATTTCTTCTCTCGATTCGTTCCTTCCTAATTTGTGCTATGACCCGTGTTACTAGGGTAAATTGCGAACCACTGACCACTCAGATTTCTTAGTTTAGAAGTTATATTTTTTTGAAAATCCTACACTTCACCGTCCCTGTTTAATCTTTTTCCTAAACCTCCTTAGTACAGCAATATATAAGAAGTTGAAACGAACATTCTTGATAGCCGTACCATAAGGCTGTCATTCGTAAATGTATTATTTTGTACCATCAACTTATTAAGAAAGCAACATAAATTCAATTGTTTATTTGTAGCTGAAAAAAAACAAGGCACTGAGCTATTTGATGACTAAATTTTATCCAATTCAATATCATTATTTTATTATCAGAATAGGTTTTGTGGAGAGTTTTTAGAAATTTCACAGGTTGAAATCATGAGTCGATTGAAGCTAGACCACCATGGAAAACCTGGAAGCACTGGACGGCCGTTTCGTCCTAGTATGGGACTCCTCAGCAGTGCGCATCCACAATCCCGCACCACGCGGGGCTCGAACCCAGAACCTTCTGGCTCCGCGCGCGAGCACTTAACCACTAGACCACTGAGCTGGCATCCAACGGTGTTAATGTCTAACCTCAACCAATCCACGAAGTTGCGCCACCGTACACCATTGTCTTCAGTGAGTTACTATCTCACGACAGACCTGGTTGATGCGCACTGCTGAGGAGCCACATACTAGGACGAAACGGCCGTCCAGTGCTTCCAGGTTTTCCATGGTGGTCTAGCTTCAATCGACTCATGATTTCAACCTGTGAAATCATTATTTTATGTCAGGTGACAAAATATGAGCTTTCACGGCTCCTGTACAGATGATGTAATGCTTGACAATACCATATATAAAGCTAGAAATCATACTGTAGTGGTTGAGGTGATGATACCATGTAACAGTTTGAATCTCATGATAGAAACACTTGATCCATTTACTAGGAGTAGATTGTACAAACCTCTATGCTGAGATTCTACACTGATGCTGTTCATCTGGCGATTCTCTAAAGAGACTGAAGTTTTGAGTGTTAATTTGGTGAGCGTGGAAACAAGTTAAAACGCTTTACATGGTTGATTTTAAATAACCACCAACACATGCGGAACTTTATTCAATCACCACAGAACAGATCATCTAATAAGACTGAATTTGTTTCTGCGGCTAACTACTATATCTTAACTCCATTGTTACTGACAAATTTAATTTAATTAATACCTAATTACATTACGAGTCTTTTGAAAATCATCAAATTCTTTGGAACGTACTAGTTTTTGTCTATACAACTGTAAATAGTAGGTAAGAATGCTAAGCGAAAGAATTGTAAATATACTGACCTAGTAAACATTTAGCGAGAATAAACGATGTGTCCGGTATGTGTGTAGAATGTTGGGATCTATACCATTGCATCCTAATAAATGTACACAGTTCACTAAGCTTAAACTTCGTGTTTACATGTTAACAATAATTAAGTTTCTGTTATAGAGGCGGTTTTTAATGATTACTGAATAAAATTTTCGATTGTCCGAACCGATGAGTGAAATCCTAATCGACAAATGAATACAATTATGTGATGTGGTCGAGTGATGGATGCTCACAAGACCGTATTATTGATTCAAATGATTGGAAACCAAAGACAAAAGTACTAGTTAGGTGACTAGAATATCATGCAATAAAATAACATGCTTATATACAAAATGTAAACACTAAATAAACACGGTAAAATGACATGGGCGATTAGCGGAAATGAATTCATAGTTCACTCACCCTCCAATCAACTAAGGCCTGAGTGTGAGGCCTAATTTCTAAGAACCTTACTAATTTCACGAAAAAATAAAATGACTTTCTTGTGCCATACCTAAATTTAAATCCAGTCATCTGCACAAATCGAGTCCGATGTTCATCTTTGATATGTTCTTGTCCCAGTACCAAGTAGAAGCGGATGATAGGAAAAGAAAAAACTCTTGGACCACTTTTTATGTATACAATCAGTGGAGCACTATGAATCACAGTCAGTTGCTAAAACTCAACCACTCAAGACCATATAGGTTCCTGTCTGCAAACTTTTTAATCCCGTTCTTGTTTTATCGATACGTCTAATTCAGATCAGAACAACTGCAGTCCAAGTGGTGGTTACCAGTATACTGAATTTTTTCTATAATTAACGAAGTCAGTGGATTCGAATATTCTTATACAGTTAGGTTAATAATAGCAGCACAGTGCCGTTCTGTAGAAATTTTATTCTTTGTGTGGTAATTTCCTTTTTTCATTATATGTGCAGGCTAATTAGAGATTTAAGCTGGTATTCATGTATCAAATTCTAATTTTAATGAACCTATCAACTTTAGGGGAGAATGTTAAAAGAAGACTTAGATTTATTTTATTTTCAATACGGATTTCATAAACCGTTATAGTGAACTGAGAGTTTTACGTTTGACAAACATTTCCGTAGACATATTTACATCCTAGAAATAGTTTTTCACCATATCAAACGATTGGTTTTGGGATATTCATGGATCAAAGCCGTTAAGAAGTGTACACATGGAGCATATTCAATTTATTCTTCAGCTCTTGTTAATCTATTTAGATATATAATGCGATGAGGTTTATGTCGTGTCCATTAGATGGCTTTGCATTAATGGTCATAATTCTTTTATGACAAATAACCTTAATTGGTTTTTTATTTCGTAGAAACAGGCGTCAAAAATATTTCTGCAGATCATAAACATGAACTTAAACCCAAGCCTAAGGAAAAACTTAGTCTTACCAGTTTAGGAGCACTAAGTAACTATAGAACTTTTTTTATCTATAACATTTCATTTTCTTGATAGATTGGAGCAACCGTCGTAATGGCTTTAGTTGGAAACTTTACCTGAAAGAGACAAATTCAAAGCCTGTACCTAAAGAAGCATTTGATGAGGTAATATTGGTCAGTTCTAAATTCGCTTTTGATTCATATCCTTAGGTTCTTGGTCTGGTTTATTTGTTAAATGCTCATTAAATTCTAATTAGTCTGATTGTAAAATTATAATCTAACTGTAAAATGTATTATTGGTACACATGTGTTTAAGTAAAAATGCGTGGATCGTATTGTATTTTGGTTTCTAGCTTTTATTGGTTGGTTGAATGAAGCTAATCAAGTCAATTACATATATCATCTATTATTCTGTACTAGTATAGGATGTTTACTAGATATTGTTTAACACCAGTTATAAAATTAGTTATCATTACGAACTGAAGTCAGTTAAAGTCTCAAACAAGGACAGAATAAATAACCGGTTCAACCTTTTTAGTCAATACCAGCTCGTGACAAACCCAATCTACGTATGAAATAAGTCTTTACAAACTACCTTGATAATTAAATCTCATGAAAAACGTACATGATTACTTAGATCCAAAAGATACAAAAAAAATACATTTCGCACTGATTTGATCAAACAACAGAAATTAAATTGCCGATAATCGTGTTTTTGTATTTATGGTTTTCTGTATCACCTGATCAAACATTCTCTATACTTGTCCACATGTTTCGTGAGTTGTGAATTTCGTTATTATACGATCTATGAACTCTTCATTTCTCATTTATCGTGAAACTTCTCTGTTATTACTGGGGCTTCCTTCATGTTTTTCGATGTATATTTTTTGGTGTTGTTTGTCTTATAGGGTCGTCAAAGTAAACTTTACCTGTCCTGTCAATATATATTATATTTGTACTAACTGTCTCGTTGAAGTTTTTCGGAAAAATAATCATGTACGAAAAATAGGGTTTCATGACGTAATACGTGTTACGAAAGGAAATAATTCCTATTTGTATCTGTATCATCACCTTTATGTTATATAAAGTGATATGGTGAGCAGTATGTAAATCGATTGGAGTGCGAATGACACGTGAGATTTCCAATCTTCTGTGACATGTAATCACATAACTTTGTGAATTGGTTATATCTGCTGGTTATAGACGTCTAATTGTATTTAATTGTAAATAATTGTTTACAAAGTAGGTAATTGATTAATTGGTGTTATATACTACTCAGTTCAATCTATGCTTATATGAATGACAATCGGGCTAAATAAATCGTAAAAGTTGTGTATTCATGTATTCTTTTGATTTATTTTGGTAGTCAAATAAATCCTTATCACCGTTTTCCTACTTGCGTTGTCTGATTCACGGTTTTTCTAGTACTAAATCAGTTAAAGACTCTGTGGAAATAGCGTGAAATTTGATAGATTATCAAGTTTCATAGTTTAAATACTATTAATTGAAACAAACAATACCATGAATCCAAAGAGTAGTTTTCTTCTGTATCTTTTAGTCCATCATATGGGAATAAAGCCTTCAGCAGAGGAGCATTATCCAATCTATCCCTGTACATTTATCTATAAATCAATGGATTACTAGCTTTCCTCAGTCTCAAGATCAGTGGGAATGCAATAGTCATGAGCTGAAAATAACCTCAAAATTTCTCTCATTCAATCATCACTTGTTCGTCTACTGTTAATTTATCAGTTAAATTAAAATCTAGCGATTACTTTATTTACTAGGCTTTTTTTACTAGTCTGTCTTTTGTTACATAGATCGTATACGCAAAAAACACAAAACATTCTACTTGATATATTTTATTAATGTTAATCTCCAATAATGTGACTTTTATGATGGTGAACTAAGAGGGAGGATGGGTATTTCTGGCCCCTATTTTTAAAATGTTTATACAAGAGTATCATTACTTTTTAATAGTATTTTTATTATCTACAATGTAGATAACCAAATTCGCTAAATCATCCCAACAGTTTCTAATAAACCAACGTCTAGAGGCTGTGGATAAACGGTGCCCTTCATTGGTTCGCGTTGCCAATGTTGTAGATAACACCCCTCCTGGATTTCTGACCCTAGGATATGATGGTTGGCCTGATAAATACAACATACGTATAGAGGTGTCGTCCCTTGATTTATTTCCTGTTGGTTATTGTCATGCTTCTGGACATCCTCTACAAGTCCCACCGGGATGTAAGTTTCTAATTTTCGACTAATAATTATTATCAGTGTTTTGAGAGCTAAACTTCACATCACTCTAAAATCAAAGCAAACTATAATCGAAACCATCCTAAAAAATTTTAAAAACCCACACTCCTAAATCGGTATAGGTACGTTGTGTATCAGGAAAAAGGATAAACGAATTATTAAATGTATTGATTATAAAATTTTATTTTTCTCCAACTTTTATCGTGTTTTCATTGGTAGATCTCTAACTGTTGTTTCTTATCATTGTAAAACCTTATCGTGTGATTCGCTAACCACCACCTAGTAAAAGCCTAACATTTCTTATTTGTTGCTAGCTTGTAAATTCTAAATTGGAAAAATAGTTTAAAATTGACCATAAAACAAGCTATATATATATATATATATATATATATATATATATATATATATATATATATATATATTACGACCGATTTTGACTCCCGTTTATATTAACATAACATTTTAATTTTCCATACATCTGTTGATATCTTAGTCGCGAATAAGCCTAGCCCCAGGACGGTCCTTACGATATTATCTAATCTTCCCTCTGCAAGACAATTATTACTTATTACAGCAACCTGATCTAGCGTATTCACTTTTTCCCACTGAACTAGATTAGTGGTTTATGTTTCAATTTTTTAAAAGCAACTTTTGTGAAGGTCATCATATTGTTTGTCCAGAATAATTTTTTCAATATCTTCAACTTTTTTCTATCAATTAAATGCCAAATACCTTTCACTCTTTTCCTTCCCTCACATAATTTTCCACCAATTAAAAAAAGACGGACGTTTTTATATTCTGTTAGATAGAATCTCATTTCCCTGGTGCCACAGAACTAATGCTTATGTGAAAAATAAAGATGAAAACTTGACATTAATTTTATTACTACTTACTTCTGCTTAATTTTTTCGTTATGCCTTTTTTATACCTATTCAGCTTTTGTTGACGAATTATTTCTTGAGATGAATATCGAAATGGTGTCTTTATTCAGTGGACTTAAACAGGGAAGCATTTTATATTGTGTTAATTTTTGGTATTTTTTGGTTTCATCATAACCTTTCTAAGAGTTTTTCCAATGTTTTCTTTGTAAATTCGATATCTTTGTTCTGTTTCGTTGACCTTGAGAAGATGTCTCTAAATAATAAGTCATTTAAAATCATAATATCTGATTCATTTATTTTATTTTTATAGATGATTCTGAATTGGATTTAAATGGAAATTTAATGGATTCTTATTCTAATTCTTCTGCCAGTTCACTCAGCTGTAGTGGGACTGCCAACCCATTTGGTGGGTGCCCAACTCCCGGTTGCAAAGGTTACGGGCATATCAAAGGACCTCGTTATTTTTCCCATCAGCGCATTTCGGGATGCCCATATGCTGATAGTAATCTTAAGAAAGATGCTATTAGAGCACATGAACGTCTAAGTTCAACTAATATATTAACGTCCAGTTCTCCTTTTTCTGTTGATTCAGAAAACCCCGATTCTAGTGCTACAATGGCCTCGGTTTCTGCTTACAATCCTCCTAATCGTAACTCAGGTCAACGTCTTTCTCCGGATTCTACTGTCAAAAGTGAATTCTCTTCAAATAACACACCCACTGTTGTTACATCTTATTCTCTCATAGCATGTCCATATTTAGATACCAAAGTTCCAGACTCTGTATCAGGTAATTCAGTTACACTGCAATTTTCTATTGCGGATAGCGTTGTCACAACTTCACCTGGTTTTTCACCTGTGATAAGCAACCTCCATTCAACCAGTAGCCCAGCTGTTTCTGTCCAGAGTTCACTCCCAAATGAATCCCTCAATCTAATGTGTTGCCTTTAAACTTAACACTTGAAAAGTTGCCTGGTTTCTCACCTAAAGAAGTGCCTTTAAGAACTGAAATTTCAAACTCCTTTTCTCCAGCAATCCCTATTGGGTAGGTTATTTTTTCCTGATGATTTGTTCGTTTTTCGCGTAATCTTTTAACACTGTTCTCTCTCATACTTCGCATCCTTTTTTGAACTCTTAACCCATTACTTAAAAAGGGACTGGTGAGATATCTGAATTTTTATTATTTTGCATCTCTCACTCAAAGATTACGAAGTTTTGCTTCACTGGTTTAATTTACATATGAAATCCTATACTAAAAAGTTGTCAGTTTATTTAAATATTGACGTGGTTGATGTAATAGAAAGCTTACTACATACTTTCTTAATTACATTGTTTCTAGTAATTAATAGTCTATTATTGTCTCAATAATTTGAAGTCACCTTCATGATCAGTTGTCAAGTAAAAGATTATCCATCGCCAATTGACCAATAGAATTTTGCCTTTTGTATCTTGTATCTACATTTCTAACGATCCTTTGTTATCAACTTCCATCCATAGCGTCAAAAGTACTCTGGAGTTATATTTGGGTGCTGTGTTTATATTGGGCAACAGAAAAATCATTTTCCTGTGCTTTCCACTTTGTTTAATAATTCGCAAGTTCAGCTTCTGCTCATGAAAAATCTGGGTAGCACTAACACTCAGATCGTTAATGTTTTCCGCTTTATTTTCCGTATGAAGATTATGAAGATTAAAATATCAACCAAATTGAAATGTTTTACTTTCATTTCAGTGTGAATAATTTTTTGTCAACTAATTACACATAATAAAGCAGGTGATGCATTAAACCAAGATTTTGTGTATATCCTTTCTTTAAAAATAAGTGAATTATTCCAATTTAGTACACTTTATTGATAGCGTTTCAAAATAAATTATTTTAAACCTGTTCTTGAAGAATGTTTTGTCAATCGTTATTGACCCTGATAATTTAGCTCGTGTGTTTTTAATGTAGTCACAAAACATCACAATTGTTTTCTATTTTTCTGTATTCTCTTCTCAACATAAACTCATAATGTAAATCCCGGTTATTTTATTCCTCAGAACAATGTAAATCTAGTGGAGTTTCATTATACTTACCTAATTCATAATGTAAATCATCGTCGTTAATTTTCTTTGTTTTGAGTACATTCATTTAACATATGAATTGACTGACTCATGACTAATTCTCTTAAACTTATTGAATTACGATTGTTCATCGAGTTATGTATTTACCAAATCGTACGATTTTTTACATGCATAAAATGTTGATAAAAGTCTGTCTTCAAATAACATCGTATACATTTGTCTTCGTAATCGTCTTTCAAGTACCGAGATTAATTTGCTATATGGCTTACGTATGTGACAATATTTATCAGTTATATCTCTAGTGAGATTTAAAACTTGAGGACCAAATGTTTGTGTTCGGTTTTCTCAAACCTTTTGAATAATATCATTTTCGCTCATACTTATTGATGTCTTTACTGGATCATGTTTGATTGTTTTTATTGGATATTTTCTGTACTTTTAGAAAGTATACTTTCCTCATTTTAAAATTTACGTCAATGCAACAAACGACTGAATCCATTGGAACATTGTATTCGTTGTGATCATTTTTATCTAATACTATGAATGTCAAATATTATGTAGGCAAGATAACTATATTCTTCGTCACTATCAATCGTACAAACAGATTTTAGAGTATGGTTTTATTCACTTTTTCTCACACAATTTTTACTAGTCTGTTATGCCGCTTCTCATTGCGGCATGCAATGCTCTTCTAGAGTATATATATATAAGGGAAAGAGCAAGTTTTTCATTAGCTCAACACTTTCTTACTCAATCAAAATTATCCTCAAACGAAACACTCACTTTATGACTACAGAATTTTTCAAACACTTCATCTGTTCAACATTTTGCAATTTAATAGTCCTTGTACTCTGCACGAAATCGATAGCCTAAAGGCTTAAGATAGCAGTTATTATTGAATGTGGATACTGTATAGCAGTACGATTTACGTATCTGTTTCGTCCTATTTATGATTTGTCAGCTGGATATTCCTTCAGCTTAGTGTCTTCCTCTTCAATCTAACAGTCCAAGCGTCAGTGTGAGGGTCAAGAATACGATCCCGGTACATCCAACTGACGAGTGCTAGATATTGCCAAACACACATTCTAGATTCCGTTACTAACCACTATCAAATATCAATTGAAAACTGTAAATGGACGGCAATATCGAGACCATCTACTTAGGATACTGATATGAAACTGATCAATTGCAGTCCGTAACATCAACCAGATAACAGTAATCCCTACAAATAATAATTATTATAGTACAGAAGTAAACTTAGTTTGATGAATATTGTATAGAGTATATAAGTGTGTAACTCCCTTTGTTTCCAGACGCGATTATAATTCTCCCAGTTGACAAACAGTATTTTTCCATAAGATACTGGGTTACAGAGGATAAGTAAAGTATGCTTTGATGTCACAGTGTTTCAGAAAAATACAGCATAATATGTTTTGTGTGAGCGTCAGTGCTACTTCGCCGTCAAAAAACTAATATGAAATTAAGTATACAAATAAATGCATGCCATCTTATTGAGAATGACATCTGAAATTAGTCTACCTTTCTGATGCATGATAATCACCGAAACATAAATTACTCTCCATAATATAGTTGTTGGTTGCTATCTTTATCTTGCACAAACAGGGAATGTACCATAAAGGGACTGGGATTGTTTTCTGGTCATGGGTGTGAGACAGTCATAAGATTGCCCTTCTTCGGTCAGAGTCACCAGACGAATGTTTACTAAATAGACGGGGTCGTTCTTTATGGTGAGTTATTTGATCTCATCCTCCTGATTGTTTCATCTAATATGTTAGCAGTAGGCGAGTAAATGTTTTGAACTGTTGCCTGTTGAATAACTTTTCGTGTTGAACTAATCTCTTTGTATAAGTCACCATGAATCAATAAACTTAGTCGGTTTTTACTTACTGCTACAAAGGAGACAATGGATAATTTGCCGCGTCTAAAATAGTTGTGTGACTTTTTAGTGTTAACAGCAGCAGTATTCGGACTCTTTTTATGTGTTGTGAGAAACCTGTGGTTTTGTTTTCGTGGATTATTTCTGAGAATTCTTATACATGACTCCAACGTATTTAGGGTTCACATTTCACTCAAATTACTTTCCACTTTGCAAGCTGAATAATCCAACTTTGATTTCTGTATTTATTATGTATATGTTGTGCGTCATAATTGTATGAGTTTTCCGGCCAGTAGTAGAATAGTCAATAATAAATATTGGTCACTTCAACGTATGTTTGCTATGTGATAACTGTAAGATAGTTACCTGTGTCTCAATCAACGGTCGTTTCAATAACACAGTATGTACGTGAACTTTTATCGTATTATAACCATGAACCAAGAAGGGTTTTTTGTTGCTCTATAGTGAGCTCATTTTTGTTTGATAGTTTTACTATTAAGTGGTTGTCTTCTAATTCTTTTTTAATGCATCAGACAACACAGTAAATCGTTTGCCAGACTTCGCTGTTTTTTTCGTAGCTCGTTTGTGAGTGGAAACTTTTTCCTCATTTTCTCGCTTCAATGTTTAATGTGGGGAATTTCAATGAGAATGATATTCTTAACATAATGACTGGCCATTTTCATTTTTACATTTTCCTTCATTTTCTACATCTGGACATTGGAAGCTGGTCTTCACATTTTAACCTGGTCATGTATGGACTCTTCATTTACCATGATTTATTTCCCAAAAAGTATATTCTACTGTTAACTAATAAAAAGTCGAAAATCCATATTCTCGATAATTACGACAATCACTTTAATATTCATTTATGATTCTTGTGCTATTGCTTTACTTGTTAATTGTTTCTGTGTCTGAGTCCAATGTTCAATACCATTTATTTTAAATTAAAGGTTTTCTGATGTAGTTTAAATATTCAGAACATATCGAAATAATGCAGTCGCACTTTTTTGTTTCAGTATACGTATCTAACCCTATAGTTGGTATTCTTTTTTATAATATATCTCTTCCGCTAATTTCCTTTTCGTAGTTAATTAATTGTCAAATAAAATATCCCTGTTAAATTCTATTCACGTTAATGTTAATAGCCTGTTTGATTGTACTAGGCTTGTTGAGAAGTAAGTAAAATATTTCCCCACCATTTTAACTTAATTTGGCTTCATCTAACTGTGTTGTCGATAAATTTTCTTGCTAGATTATGTTTTTGTTAGTTCTCAGGAGGTTTACATTTATACTGTGCATGAATAAACATGACTCTCACTTTTCCTTTTTCGAAATTCTTAATATTAGTGCCGTGCCTCAATGTGAAAACTCAAATTTATCTTCTGAAATCGCAGCCAATGTAATAGTCTTATCAAATGAATCCTCTATTAATGTTGCGTCTTCAAGCACAAAACCAAACATGAATTCTAATGACTCAGTTAGACCACAGAAATTAAGCAAATTAGAACCTAACCCGGACAGCGTGTCTCCTTCCAACCTTCTGTCTCATACTGCTGACCAATCTGATGAATATACAAAGAATCTTGGCATATCCCCTATACCTATTAAACGTAAACGAGGTCGGCCTAGGAAATACACTTCTGTACATGTTCTCCATCCATCCTTACAACAGTCACGTCCTGTTCATTTCACTTCCTTGACATCTCTACCACAATCATATACTACGTCTACTGGACGACACTCATATCCAGCTAGTGTATCAACTCAACATCATACTCTTTCATCTGCTGCAGTTCCGATTTCTTCGTTATCGATTACATCTACATTGTCACTTTGTAGCAGTATGAATGTAACTACCAGTTCTCATCCACCAACGGATTGTCAAAGTGATAGTTACCTCCCCCATAATATGGAATCTAATAACCTCAAAAACATCGATGTACTTAAGTCTGTCACATGCAGTTCAGAACCAAGTCCCGCTGACAGTGTTTTAACTAATGCTTGCATCAATACTAACATGGGTTACATGGATGTAGACCGCTTAAGATCATCTTCTAGTTATGAAATTCCTGGGCAGCACACTTCTACCTTAGCTGCAATAAATGATCCGACTACGGGCTATCCTATACATGCCAGGTTGACTCAAGAAATCACTCCTGTTGACCTGTGTTCTAATCGCACTCAGCACCTAACGGTTATGAATACCTCAGGTATGATCATCAACGCTAGTAACAGTCTTCCTCCTCAATCTTTGATCGAGACACCAAATACTGGATGGTATCCTGATGTGACTAACGGGTCATTCATGCCTCCTATATGTCCTAATCCTATCTTATCTTCTCCATTCTATATTGATACAGCAAGGTCATCATGTCTATTACCATCTTTTGATCTATCCTCTTCAAGTTATATAAATGCTACCGTCAGTAGCTTGAATAATCCCTCGTTGAGGGACTTTGATTTAATGGGTCGTTTATTACCACAGGCAGGGGCGGCTATCCGTGCAGCCAAAGTTGCTGGCCTTCCTGGACCTCATTCATGGAGTCCAAATGTTGTAGCTAATTTTATTTCTACACTGCCAGGATGCAAGCAATTCTCTTGTAAATTCATTGAAAATGTAAGTCAAATACTTTTTTTTACTTGATTTCTGGTTATTGACTCATCTTTCATTTTATTTCGTGTACCACTACCAAGATTCTACTCAGCTCGTTGTTTAGATTTATCAAATTTGTTTCTTTGAACGATCATTTCGGAATATTTATTGTACCGCAGTTATGAATAGAAAATCGTCAATATTTTTTGAATTATTTGATATGCGTCGTCTCCGTAGTTTATTTATTTATTTTAACACATAGATATTGGTACAAGGAGGCACCAAATACATATGCGCCACACAAATCTCATTCGATATGTGTGAGGGCTGTGATACTGCCTGGGTGCCCAAACCGAAGCAGGTCGTCTCCGTAGACAACTAGTTTGCGAAAAATACTGTGGTTCATTTTAGATTTTGGTACTTATAATGTTATTAGAAAGACTCTTATTTTTACTCAGGTCAATCAATTCATCATTTTTCTTCTATAAAATGCAAAGCCTAATTCAGCAGATGTTGAGAAGCGACGTAGACTTAGTATTTATAAGTCATACAAATAAGAAATTTCAGTTATCTTTCTTTTTGTTGCTTTTGATCGTCTAAACTGGAAAATTTAAAAGCTGTGTTACTGCTCTGATTCGCAGCAGATTAGTGGGAAAAATTAAACTAAAAGGTGAAGATTGCCAACATTGCCTTGGGGATAAAAATAAAAAAGAGATAGTGGGAACAATCTTCACCATTTGAAATAAAATCCAAACTAGGTGTGTTTGTTTCATCATAATCAATTTATTATTGCTTCAAATAGTATTGTTCTTCATGAATTCTTTGTCTTGCAGTTAACTTACTATTCCTTAACAATGTTCTTGTAAAATGATGAAGCTTTTTTCCAGTGCTTTAGACCTTTGGCCATACTGATTTTGTCGCAAGTTCTAATTTCTGTCTAATTTAGTCCAAGTCGCTATGTGGTTTTTCCATCAATTAGCCATGGTTTAAAACCTAATCCACAAAGATGTAATTGATTACTGAGTTACATTGGTCTCATAAAAGTAGAAATAATAGTAGTGTAATTCATTCTCCACGTTCATATACTCGGCTGCCGAAACTTGAAGTAGATAGTATGGGTTTGGAATCAATGACCTATTGATTAGAAGCCGAGTCCCACATAAGTTAGTTCTCTTAATTTCTCTTTTGTTTGAGACTAAACAGACTTATCGTATATACTTCTCCAGCGTGTACCTGAGAACTGATTGATGCTTTCTAGATCTCTAGTGTGTAATGAGTTAAAAGCCAACAATAAGTATATTTCTAACATCAGTGAGTGACTCGAATCGTTAGTGACTTTTTGAAATTAAGTCACTAATTTTAGTGATAGACAATTATATATTGCCCTTTGTCAACTATTTTTTGATTTAACTGATTATCGATTTTTTATAAGCGTAGCAGTATGTTGTAGGTTTGAAGGGTAGTTTGTTTCCATAGAGGAGATATATCGCAGCAATTTCGAAGCAAAAAATAATTTTTGAATTAATTATATTAAAATAGGCATTTCATATTCCTTTTATTGATAAGTTGGGTGTTTCCCGTTTTTAGAAACTAGCCTCACACCAGACTTTTTTTACATAAACTTTCCAATCTTTGACAATTACATTCGCTCTTTTTACTAGAGTGATGTAATAAGTGGTCTCTCAGTTCGTTCTCTGCCAAAATGTGATGGGAGGTGATTAAAAAATAATCATGAGGATGTGGTTCATACTGTTTGTTTACTAGATTCCGCTTAAATTGGCTTACAATACCATGCTAATTTAGATGTAATGGATATCTTGCTCAGAAGCTAATACGCTTGGTTTTTAGTTGTTCCTTTTTTAAAATTTATTTTTTCAAATATGATGTGTGCGAAAACGAGTTCTTATTTTACTTCAGTGTGCTTTGTTCTTTTACCTTTTGATTAGAAAATCACATTTCTATTAACGTGGTCAGTTTTCTAACTTTTAATTTCTCTAACAAAAGTCTACTGATTTCGCTTTATAAATATGATAATCATTTCACTGTGGTCACAATGCTCTACCTTTATTCGTGTAATCAAGCAGATTTACCATAGATAATTTGTGGAACGGATTGAATTCAGGACTGATGGTACGTTAACCTCTACATCTAGTCCTCATTGTCTTCCCATCTTCACTTTCATTGTCATCATCCGTCACTCACATTTTCCAATCCGCAATAAGTGTTGGTCATCAGTCGAGTTTAATGTTTGCTGTAAAATGTATACTCATTTCTTATCATGCATTGACATAGTTTACGATATCAGTCTTAACATTTTTATTCAGTAGTCTTAAATACGCTATGTACCACAATATTTTTGTTGTTTTTTAAAATCTAAATATTTCAGTTACGTATATTTGTGTGATAGTTTTTCTGTTTGTTACTGTCGGAAAACAACTCTATGTACTAATAACAGAGAGAGTGATTACATATTTGTTAGTAACTAGTAGTAAAATCCTGGTCTTGTCGACTGGATGTACTCGTTGTGTTCAAATCTCAATCAAAACACTTTCCTTTGCTGAAGTGTTTAGTGAAAAGTTGTAACTTGTGGGAAATATGCTATCTGGATTCTATTGCTAAGTGTTTGATCCTGATGTCAACGTAATCAATGTTCAAGCATCCATTTAATAATTTCCAAGTTTCTTAATTAATTCAGTCTTGCTAATCAACTACTAAAGAGTATAAATACTTATGATAATGAAAATTTGTAGTTTCAAAATCTTTATAGATAAAGCCTCTTTTCTTTCCAATTACTGTACGGGATTTTTAGATGAAAGATATATTGAGTCTCCCACGGTAAAAATTGTTTTGTTCTTTAGCTTGATCGTCAATCTAAGTGACTGGAAATAAAGAAGGCAACAGCGACAGATAGCACTTAACAGTTACATAGACTCATCAAACAGCATAGAGATACTTATCTATAATTTCCCATAACTTTATTTTATTCCATTAGTCGAGAGATCTTACGGTAGTCTGTTATTTTAAGACGTACTATTATGGGGCACATAAACCTTCTACAGCCTCTTTGCTCGGACACTGTTAATCAAATTGAAAATTATGGCTATTTTTTGAACTGACTCTGTCAAGTGGTATTCATCAAGACAACCTATCTCATTTCTATTTGATTTTTTTGTAGATATTTCCCAGTAGTGCTTTCTTTATCTGACTTTTTAGGGACTAACTTCCTGTCAGGAAATTCATCTGTCGATCTGGAATACACAAATGGAATCCTCTTGTTTCGTAAAGACTGACAAATGCAGATTCTTCTATTCACTTTAAGTAACAACGAAAGCATGTTTTGAATCCGTTTCTCACCCTCCATGTGCTAAATATTTATCCAACATTGGTCTGTGTCTAGTTTAACGGTAGGGAGTGGAGAAGTGAAACGCGTTGATCGCTTTACTGATACTAGATGGAAAGGCTCATTCTATTTATGAGACTACGTTCCTTCATCGACTGGTTTGGCTATGACATTCAATATGAATGCCTTACCTCTGCTTAACCCGACATTTAATCATTGGCTTACAAAGAAGTAGGTTGAAGAAACTGGGAATGGTCAGATCAAGGTGTGACATCAATCCAATTAAACAGACGGTTGGTGTAATAGAACCAGTTATAAAGTCAGAATACTGAGTAAACTCTAGCTTCACCAATGGTATACAATAAATAATAATTGTTACTCCTGCCAATTTTATTACAAGCACTAGATGTACAATTGAATAAAACTAATGTTAAAACACTAGTGTTATATTATAGCAAAATAGATATATTTTTTAGTTTTACGAGACATTTCACCAGTAAAATCCACACTTACATCTTTAGATCTGCTACTACCTATTTCTTACAGCATCAACTTGATTTGCACTTACAGACTCGACTACCCATGTCATCTTTCCATTTGTTCGTTGTTTAATTAAGGTGTCCCACTATATATAACATCTGATTGTTTCTAGGTTTTAGATCTCTAAAAGTCTCTCACCCCTGTTTGAGTGTTCATCTCACTTTGCATAACCTATCGAGAATGGGAGGATTTTGCAGCATTAAATCGCATTAGCATCAGCGACCGTGTACACTACCCTTTTAAGTATATCAACCGTTCTTCATTGGTTGACGCATCCGACAGAGCTACTTCTAGCTCCCTTAAAAAAAACTGGTAATCAACAGTGTCCTCCATTAATACATTTAGTTACATGTTCTGGAAGTCCTGTTAAGCTGCTGGATTTAACGTGATTTCAACATCACAGTCATCAAATAGTCTGAGAATACAGAAGTTGATATATAATCGAACAAAAATTTCACTGTGTTATAGGGGAACGTTTTTTCACATAATTAAGTATCCATATATTCTGGTACTCTTAGAATATTAAAACCCATGCTTATCATGTTATTCTCATTGCTGTTTTAGGAAATAGATGGAGCTGCTTTATTGTGCCTTGAACAACACGATCTGATGCATGTATTAGGTATGAAACTGGGTCCTGCTGTAAAAGTATCTACTGCTATTCAAGCTTTACGTAAAAGCCTACTTGCAACGCCAATTTCAGAACTTGGTCCAGAGCATGCAAATGCTGTCGCCGCAGCTGTATCATGTTTTACTAACAGTTTGTCGTCACAGGTTGGTATCGGTTCATCTGTTACTAGTGATTCGCAATCTGTAGTGAACGGTTCCAGTGTAGACACTTCATCATCTAATACCGGGTGAAGCTATTCGTATAACACTAGTTCACTGTCGTTCAGTTATCAAAATGCACCCTCTCCTACATTCCTACACTTGTTGTTTGTTGAAAATTCATCCTAAACTTGTTTCACAAAGGGAAGAACGATAAAGAATTGACCGTTTCATATTTTTACTTTGGGCTTTCGGTTTTTTGCCTTTTCCACTGTTTATGTATCGTCTGCCTGTAAATGGTAGTAGTCCAATTATATCTCAGTCGATGTGTGTATGCTTAGTTTCACAAGAACCGTAATTCAGAATCATCTTCCTAGTTGATATTATTATTAATATTATTATTATTGCTATTGTCATTAGCGATTGAATTTCGCCATATTTACAATAGTGCCTTACAGTATAAAACCAATTGTGAAAATCTGCAGTTCGGATTCTGAAATAAATATATTTTGTCTAAAATTTCCCTTGATATATACATATATATTTTCCATTATGGGTTGCATACTGCAAAGTAAGAATCTTGTTTATCAATCTTTTCTATTGGGTAACTTATCATCTATTGTTTTGATATCATGACTAAAGATTGGATTTCATTTAATATTTTGTATAATTAATAATCCAACGTTTAACGTTGTACAATACTTTTTATGATCAACTACATCACTGTTCTTGTTAGTGTTATTATGATATTACCATTAAATTTGCTAATTGACTTCGTAGAAAAAATCTGGCCTATTTTTAAATAACCCCTAGTAGTGTTTTTATTGACTATTTAATGAATTTAAAAATTTCCGTAGTTGGATTTTGTGTACGAATATGTATCTTAGTGACTACTACTTTGAATGAATGTATTCTTGATAAATTATGATTGAATCTGTGACTTACGACACGTAGTTACGTGCAAGTGATTGTAAACAAAGTGTATGTTATTTCGTACAATTTTTTATTGACGTTTTTTCTTAGTCATGATTGTTGGCTCTTTGACTTCTGGATAGAACTCCCCTCTATTTGCGGCGTTTTTTAGTCACCCACTTTTTTCTATCCTGAATAAAAAATGTTCAAGATATTCCAGAGAATTAACTAGACCCAAAAGTAGAATGTTGAAATATATTCGTGCAATTACTCAGGCCAGCGTATTTATGCATTCCTTTTGATTCTTTTGACATCTATGCAGGAAATAACGAGTGCACATTCTTCAAAATCTTTGTACCTGAAATACTTGTTCCTCATCCTATTACTATTATAAAAATATCCCTTCCGAACAAGTAGCAATTTCTTCTCGATGATTTTTATCAAGTTTATTTACAAATATGGATCTTCTGAACCATACAAATGATGTTTTGATAATAAATGTTCGCTTTGGAATATGTTTCTTCTGAATTGTACTGGCGTTTATCACCTGAATTTTTTAAATTAAGACAAGTTACAAATTTATAATCTTCAACAAGGCATATACAATTGCATTAACTAAAGTCACACTTCAGATCGACTGATCGAACAAAAATTAATGAAAATACGAACAAAATACTATTGGTAAACTAAACTCAGTATATAGTTCTAATACTTTGAATGAGATCATTGTATGAAATTCCACCTTGATATGGAAGTTGGTCTTGCATATCGCGATAGTCAAGTCTATCCATATTGGCTAGAACATTCCTTTTTTTAAGCTCCAACCACCCCAGCCAGTTCGGTTGGAGAGCGGTAAGTTTTCACTAGCTAAGACTATAGGATCTTATGCTATTGATGTATACTCTCCGAAATACTCGTACAGAATCTTATTATGGTCATCCGCTTGACTTCACCTAACCAATATGGAGAGAGAAACAAATCATAACATTCGTTCATCTGGCGACGCAACATCAATTACTCAGGACTACACCGGTGTAGTTATGGCACTAAATTTGAAGTCAAGACAAGCACTTAACAAGATTTCTGTTGATAATCTCTTATATTCTATTGATCTCATAGGCACAGCGAGAACTCGGAAAGATCAGAACGCACTTCTGTCTCTTCGTCAATCGCAGATGGGTTGAAATAAAACATAAGTATTATAAGGAACTTCTTAGACTTCAAAAAGACGGATTTAGTAGACAATTTCAACGTCAAAGTCGGCAGTCTACTTCAAATTGAAAAACACTTGAGTGGATCATACGGCGTTGCACTCCAGATAATTATAACAGTGTGTTGAAACTATAATCAGTTAACTATACACGATCCCTGAACCATAGGTTCACGAAATTCAGTTTACTGTTACCTGTCGCAACCACTTACTTCAGTGTGGTTGTCTGAATATCTCATCTTTAAAGAAATTGGAAGGTAAACATCTGATTGTGTTCTCACGTGTTGTATTGTTTCGTAAGTAGGTTATAGTACATTGTCTAATCTAATTCTCAGTATTTTATTGGCTTTTGGTGACTGCTACAACCTCCTTGGCTTGTTAACCTGATTATGCAAGAATGGAAAGATTTGGGAGAAAATCCCTATACACTCCATATTAAGTAGTGTAGATCAACGATGATTTAGGCGTACGAATTACGTTATTCACTCACACACTTTTGATGAGGTTGATTTATCAAAATATATTCTCCCACATACAGTGGCTTACCCGTCAAATAACTTTGTGGGTACTCTAGGCATGATTACATTACTAATTTCATTTACAGATATCTTGTTAGTTATTATAATCAGTTTCTTATAAGCCTTTGGTTATCACGTTCTTTCAAACCCTTAGTTGTTTGGAGCACTTCTAATAAGTTGTGTTTATAATATATGTTTGTTGTTATTTTCAAGATCATCAGGTATCTGGCAATCAAGTAGATATAACCACAAACAGAGCTTTAATGCATTTGTTGGTCACACAATTGTAGTTTACCCGTCAGTTGCCTCGTCACTTCCTGTTTCATCTTCTCCATATCCTTCGATCTTTAAGGTCTTGCCTCTACAATATAATTACAAGAATAGGGGATAATTACCGCCAAAGAATTGTAAAATATTTATAGTAGACAGTAGTGGAAAGTGAAACAAAAATGGATTGCTGCGGGTTAACAGTCATGTACCGATTTATTCAACCAAAATCAATACGGGGCATGGCACAACTGTGCGTTTCCATCGGTTGCCATACCGCCTCGACACAGCAAGATGAAACTAACATCAAGAGTCTAAATAATAGTAGTTTCAACGTTAGTGCGTAGTAGCTAAACATAGACACCCTACCAAGTTCAGATTGATTTAATATAGTAGGCGTCTAAGTATAATTTAATTACCAGCCCTCCTATCTATATCCACAACTAAAAAGAGAAGCCCACTTTACGTATTTATTGGACAGGTAACATGTTCTTGGGCGTCTTTTCACTGTATTGGAAATAATTAGATGTTGCCACTTCAAAAATTCTATGAAATAGTGTCAGGTGATATGCAGTAGTTTTTTTTCTGGTTTTCCCATTCAGTGTTATACATCCAATTGTCTGGATCCTACGTTTGTTAGTACATTTGTTGTTTCGTGGTTAGATGATGAAAGTCGTGAGGGAAACAGCGAAATTAGCTACTGCATTAGTGATTAAAGTCAGGACGAGTTCTTTTATACTGTTATGTCAAAGTTTTTCCACAGCCTGAGGACAATTCAACTTTTTGCGTGTAAAGATATGACATTCTAATACTGCACATTCGTACTTCTCCGCATTAGTATATTTTTCAGGTTTCTTAAAAAACGTCTACAAGCTATTTTGTGATTGGCTGATAACTTATATTCTATAGATTTCAAGATCACTTTCAAATTATCATTAGGAACTAAACAATTACAACAGCTTGGATACGATTAGCAATAAACCAATCGCTCCTAATAGACATCGGCCATCTTGATTCCGATCATTTTCTCTCGTATTATCACTTGCAAAATGTCCGTTTTTATGTTCAAAGCCTGTGTTGATGGCTAGGATTTATCAAGTGGCAACCAAATTGGTTTTGTGCTTTTAATTTCTATGTCAACTCTTACATATTAAGGTGCGTATATTTTTCTGCATATAAATGAGAAATATTGCTTCAGAACTGGTCTGCTTCGGCCCCTGAATTAGTTATATGAAGTAAAGTAGCTGAGCGGACCGACCATTTCACCTATTTTGAAGGTCTCACCAGAACTAGTGGGTTGAAGTTTGGCGAGATCATGGCACGAATTCAGGAAACCCGATTAACCTTTGCCAGCTTGGATCATTTGTGGCGTAGGCGAGATATCCGTTTGCAAACCAAAGAACGAGTATACTGACATCAGTTCACTTGGTTCTACCTTATGACTGTGAGACATGACCTTTGAAACCAAAGAATAATCGTAGATAACAAGTATTTGACCATAGGTGTCCTCGAAACACTGCCTGTTTATATTGGGACCATTGAATGAGTAATGCTGAGGTTAGATGCAGAGCACTAAGTAATAATAGCAAGCTGGTTGGGACATATGTTGCGTTTGCCTAGCCACCGCCCACACCGACGCTCGACGTTTTGTGGTGTAGGAGACTAGAAGAAAGGTAGGGGAAGGCAAACCACGACGTGTCATCAGTTCACTAAGTTTCTGACTTTTTCTAAATCGTGTACGAAGGTGCAGATTACCCAGTTGGTAACCGGTTAATAATCATGACCAATGGTTAATGAGGTGCATTCTGTCTTTGTCTTTATTTAAATCCGGAGTCCCAAAATGTGCCGATACTTCTAGTTTTCTACGTAGCTTATGACTGACCGACTACTCGTGTTTTCGAAGGGCATTTCCTTAGGCTCATCTGACTGTTGTGATTCCCAAATCAAACTGAACCGTAGTTTCTTTGTAGCTGACATTTAAAGCAATAGTGTCGAGTGTTAAAACATGCTACTTCCTTATCAGTAGTTACGTTTTTATGATTGGAATGTGTGGATTATTGTCACTTTTATTTCCTGATGCGTAAGGCGAAATTTAACGGGGTTTCGATAACTTGCAGTGATTTTACAGATTATGGTAGTAAATTGAGGGGCTATAAAGTGTCCCACCGCCTATTTTTCCGAAGCAT